TTTGACAAATCTAAGTAATCCAACTGTAAACGATTGCATCCTGGCTTTATGATGGCGAGAATGGAGGTCTTAATATTATTCTTGCACGGAACCCACCCTTATCTTTACTTCTGTTCAACAACATCAACGAAGTGCTATGATACATTGTTAACAGATCTTAACAGACGTCAAATCAAATAGTCAGTTTTCTTGTAGGAGTAAATTAGAGGTGATTTCAGAATACGGAACCACTTTGGTACAGCTCATTACACGTGTCAGGATCGGCGATGAAGAACGATGCATGAAACACTAACTGCTAAAGATTGAATGACTTTGAACCTGCCCGTCAATTACGCGAGAATCTTTTGCATTCTTTTAGCTGGCGCACACTCTGCGCGGTCCAATCTTTTCACAAACGAAGAATTCTGGAAGGCCATATGATTCAACAATGGCAACCCAGCTTGGCTTGAACAAACAAATTCACAGTTTCATGGCGAAACTGTTCCCATCGTGAATTACCTAACGGATACAAATCATGCAAATAGCGGACGGCTTTTTTACCCTGAAGATGACATAAATGTAATGTCGAAAACGTTAATCTTTTTAGCCTTTTAAACAAATTAGCTTTTAAAAAATTTTGTCATTAACAACAACAAGGACACTCGTTATATATAGCTGGAATTTTCTTCCCCAACAGCGCATGCTGTCATTGGCTATTGGCTACTTTGAGGTCACATGAAATGTAACAATAACACTGTTTCCCGCCAAAAGTGTCTACGCGGGCAATATTGCAAGATCTATGACATCAGAAAGTAACAATATACACTGTTACCCCCTCTGTTACACGTGAAATTTAATTTTCTATGTCTTCGTCGTGCTATATAACAAGTCAATTAATAATTGGTCCTTAAGGAAACCAGTTAACTTTGTCTCTCAAGAATCTCAGTGTTTCCTGAGGCGGAGAAAATAACACTAACTGTTCTCCTCAGGACTAATCATGAAGTCTCAAATGTAGCATTTTCCTTAAACTGAGGATGTTGAAAACTGACTTGAATTTGCGATGTTGGCCCTTAGTAAAGCTTCATAAAGACAAGGCAGTGAATTACCAGAAATGGATAAAATAGAATATGAATGGAACTACATTGTTAGATTGATAAAGCTTCAGCATCTTGTCTCGTACAGGCCTGATCTTGATATATAGCGCACCCACTTGATGGTGTCATGGTCACTGTAGTTCAGTTTAGGCTCGAACACCTTCAGGTACCGAACCTTCAACCCAGAACATGCAAATGGAACCTGAAAATAAAAACACGATAACAAATCAGTGTCCTTAATNTTCTTACCTCTATTTTCTGACCCAGTATTGACTGTTTGAAGTTAGACTTGATGACTACTTTTACTTCCATCCGTGACCTTCCTACTTCTCTCACTAAGGGAATAACTCTAAATGGGAGACTTATGTCCTTAGTGGTGCGGTATCTGGAGGAAAGAAATTAATCAATACCTGCGTTAATTTAACCTAACTGGTAGTCTAACATTATTAATGATGGTCTGTGAGTTGGGGTTTGAGATTGGGCGATAATTATTGAAAGTTCAGTCTTGCCAGGGTCGTTTTGTTGGGTTCTTGTCTTCTTGGCAAGCTCATTCTTGTCCCATAAGTCAAGGCCAAAATCCTTCAAGCTCTGGCAGGTTCCAATTTGGAAGCCGGTTATTCAAATCTGATCTGTGTATACATGATTCTGACCAAATGGATCACAGCTTGTAAGATTCCATGTGCAAATTTTTATTTTAGCTTGCCATTTATCTAATGCAAATTAGGACTATTCAAATGCTACGGTTTCCTAGCACGCCAATCTTTTCAACGTTTTCTCTAGCTTCAAGTTTATACTGTTGCGGAATCTATAGTCTACCTAGCTTTACTGTCATCTCTACAGTCAGGAAACATTTGTAATTCTTTATATTCTATCCTGTATTTTTATTATCGCTTGGCTCTTCTTCACATGTATTTTTATTTATTTTTCTTGTTGAACCTCGGTTGATCACTCAATACTCAACGGGCTCCTCAAGTCTCTTCAACTGAGCATAAGTTCAAATTCTCTAGACGTAGTGTCAACAAGAACTGTAAGCTACACAGCTTCTCAGGACAAGAATGGGGCAAGACACATTACATACATTGTATCATTGCATACAGGTTGCAAAAGAAGCAATGATATGCCAAGGAATTACATCTCCTTACCTCATTAGCTCAAACTCTCCATCAGGTGGTATAAAACTAATTGCACGCTCTGTCTCAAATTTGCTGAGCTTAACACACTGCAAACAGACAAGAGAGGGCTTGAAAAGTTTTTCATCTCTACCAACAAGGAAATACAGGTACAAGAGACGAACAATTGTTTTAAAGATTAATCACACATTTTCTTCAACTTCTGTCAAACTTGAAGTTGAGGAAGCAGGCATTTCATTAACCTTTTTAGCAGGAGGGGAACTGGTTTTCACAGGCAGGCAAAACATTTTGAACTTAATCTTTTTTATAAGAAAAACTTTCCTCTAGATGGTCAGACCAGGAGGGCAAAATTGTCTTCAAAGCCAGTCAACATACCCTGTACCTGGTCCTNACTAACTTCTTTTGTGGATCAAGAGATGGGTCTGAAGTTCCACTCTTCTGTTTTTCAACAACCAATTTGTCATTCATGCCAAATTTACACTCGGGCATTCCAGACAGGAAACTCTTCATCACAACCCGGCCTGACACATGGGCACTTAGAACCTGACCTAGAAAGCAAAGAAGCGTCTATGCATCAGAATTTCATCCCAGTAAACAAGCAGTGCCCTGAAAACCTGATTGGTTGTCAGACCACTAGCCCAAGAATGACCTGAATTTCTTCTTTCAATCTATGAACAGAGCACCTGCTCAAAGCTGATGGCAGAAGATATCAGCAACCGTAGTAAGGACATTCATACCAATGGCTGGTCCTTTAGGAAAGTTGTCATCATTTACTGCCATCTTAAGCATCAAGCAGGAAACCCTGCTTGATTCTAATAAGTACTACAAGAAACGTTTGGAGATTGGTGACGCAACAAACCCTGTGGTGACATAAGCAGATTAACAGACTCCAGTACATCAAGGAACAGTTCATTTCTCCTGTACTTGATCCCTTCTCTCCTCCAACCAATCTGTCCGGTTACTTGGCTGGTGATTTGAGCTTGCTCTTCTCGGGTCTAAAACAAACAGACAAATAATGAAATCATGTTTTTTTCCGTGGTTTCTACAAGGGAAAGGTTATCTCTGCCAAACTGTTTGGAATATGACGCAGTTTGGTTGGTTCTTAAACTTCTTGTTTGTTTTGATAAACCACATTTTGATATACGAAGCCTGCAAGCAAACCAGTTAGAACTGACCATTCATAGAAAGTTCACGTAAGAGTGTGTAAACTACTTTATAACCAGTGGTCACACCTGTTATGCCTACATGTATGATGTAGATGATGTAGTAATTATACAATTTAGATGGTGCTTAGCCTTGATTGGGATGTGCAGTTGCCTAATGGGATGGACTTTGGACAGATTCAAGTGCTGGTGGCAAGACACTCTACTCTCATAGTTCCTCTGTCCCTCCTAGTCTGTAAATGGGAAAGGTTCTGGTGAATTTAATGCTGGGGATAACCCCTTGCAATGGACCAGCATTACAGAAATAATTAAGTACTTCTTAATGCTATGGACATTGGATTAAGCTCTGGCCTTGGTTAGCTAGTCCCACAGAAATTCAAATTTAGCTCTAAACCCGCATATTTTATTTTTAAAAATAGTTGGCCCTTGCTTTTTGGACCCCAAATTTTGTTATTAAAATCAGCTTTTGACTTGCCTGTGTCTTGATACCTTGCTGAGTGATAAATGTTTTCAAAATAGCAGTGTCAGTCTTCTGGGGGTATCCATAATCAGCGATCTCTGCATTCCACAAGAAAAGAGACAAGGTTAAGGTTAGTACTGATGCAAAATCATGAATGTCCAGTATTTTGGTCAGAGGAATTCTGTGAGGTCTACAGTTAAGACAAACTCTATAGAAAAATCACCAGATCAATTATTTCTAGAAGTTGAATCAAGCCTGAAATTACTGCTCTTGCCCGTCAGTCTGTCAGTCAGTCAGTCCATTAGGCCGTCACTCAGTCCGTCAGTTGATCCATTCATCAGTCAGTCAGTCTGTCAGTCAGTCCCTCTGTCTGTCTGTCTCTCTGTCAGTTGGTCAGTCAGTTGGTCAGTCAGTCACTCAGTCAGTCAGTCAGTCAGTCAGTCGGTAAGTCGGTAAGTCAGTCAGCCAACCAGTCAGCAGAGAAATAGATTCAACAAAGAAACATTGAACTAACCATCAAGGAGCTCATAAATAAGGACAAAGTTGTTCTTGATTCCTTCTTCAGTGACTTTTCCAAAGTAAGAAATCATAATCTCCACTGTGCGATTGAGGAACTCAAACACCATAGCAGCATTAACATTCTGCCTTGTAACAGCAGCCAGCCAGACATTTCCCTGTCGTATATGGAAGAAGCTTGTTCTGGCAATGTTTGTAACTGGTGACCTTACCTGGCCTCTTGCATGGATGACATTTACCCGAAAAGCATCCACTGCATTTCGGCTGAAAATGAGCACAGTGAAAAAGTTGACAAAAGCAGTGAAAAGTAACATGGAAGGTCGAGATGCGTAGCTCTAAGTCAGGCTTAATTACCCACTGCTGTCCTGGAAAAGAGCCCATTCTCCCCTTCCCCTGAATGTACAGATGCACTCACATGTATAGTATCATTGACTTCAGCCAATTAGAACACTACCTGCAGGCATTTGCCAGGCATGGCAGTTTGGTTACTCTGACCAAGGGCACCCAAGCAAATTCTTCCCAAATTAATCACTGCTGCTTACTTAAATCAATGAGATCTGGGGTTAACATCCACGGTTTTCATAAGTCACTTTGCAAAGAATTTATCAGCTACCAAGCTCAGAGTAGTCACACTGTGATTCTTGAGAGACTGGAAATTAAGATTTCAGGCAACCCCATGCATAAAATTGTGACTGATGTCTGTGTATGAATTGAATGATACTATGAAAAACAACAACAAAAATTGTATACCGTCGAACATCCACTAACAGCCACCTCTCTACAATGGCGGAAAGTCGATACATTCACTTTTATTTTAACCTCTCTACAATGGCCACCTCTCCACAATGGTAAGAGCCAAAAAGCGCATCCGAATTGCCAAAATAACCTCTTAACAATGGCTAGTTAATGAATTACTGACGAACGGTAAATACAAAACTACATTTTTTATTGGGAAATGGTCACCAAACCTGATCCTTACTACCTGTCCTTGATCTCTGTTTCTATCTAGGTTTTCTTTTGTTATATTTTCATTGTGTTACGTATTTATAAGCTAAGATTAGCATTTTTCAAAAATACAAATGTTGTACCCCCGAAAAGAACAGGTGTCACATTACATCCTTATCTCCCTATAATGGCCACCACTCTAGAACCACCACTTTCCTCTGTCGCCAAGGTGGCTGTTGTAGAGAGGTTTGACTGTATATATAGGTAACTATTGAGCTAAATAAAAAATATTATCAAGATCTCAGGTTTCACTGAAATGAGAAACCCACATGCCTCGTCAAAAGTGTCAAAACATTTCAGTTTTCACACATTTTGCACCTCCCCACCCCTGTGCAACGTTGAAAAAACAATTTGTACGGACGCATGAATGCATTGTCCTATTTTCCTATTTTCTAACATTGAAAGGGGGAAAGGAGGTTTTGACAAGTTTTTACTAGTTGTTATGATCGAAATCTGAAACAGTTGCATGCGTTTAAACCGAAACGTGACGAGGCTTGCAGCTCGACTACCCAAGAGAACCTTCACGTTAGTAAATTGTCTTTATACAGCACTGAATGATTCGATCAACCCGCAATCAGATGGCTGCTCAACTTCAGAATAACCAAGATTAAACTGCACTACAGCAGCTGTGCAGGTAAGAACTTGATTAAACTGTTACAACTCACCCAATATCATCCCGGTAAACTCGAGAAATTAGCACTTCTCCTTTGTGATTGTAGATGAAAAAACCACCTATCATGTTGAATAAAACAGTCTAGACGTAAAAGGAAATATCCAGAATCGATAGAAAGGTAATCTTTCAATAGGTTGTGGTGACAACAGCGTGGAAATTCAGCAAATCTTTCGGAGAATTTGCCCGCTCTCAGGCCGCCATTTTCTGCAAGAGAAGACACCCAGCTCTCGTGGTGATTTCCCCATATAAGGAAAATTCCCCCATATTTGGAAAAAAGTGGAGCCTAGTTTTCGCAGTTTTTCCTTTTTCCACACGGTCAGTTTGCGAGCGAGGTCGTACTGTTTACAAATTTTCAAATTGGCGCCATGGTTTGTTATGGCGGATGAAGAACAGGAGGAAAATTGGCCAGAATTCTTCGAAAATAATCGACTTATTCCCGTCCATCCCAACAGGAGGAAGTCAGGATCACAAACAAAGCCTAATGTCCCATTCTGTCTTTTGTTGAAATCTGTAATCGGGATTTCATTACCGCCAGCTTCCGTAAGTTTGTTGTCCTGGAAATTAATAGCTACTGTAACGTACAGCTAGAGGCTTGATTATTACTTCGTAATGCATTTATTTCTCATTACCTCTTCTTGATGCTTAAAATTAACAATGATGTAGGTATTGTCTTATTCAGTAATTTAACAATGTTTACATGCATGTAAGACTTTAAGCTACTTTAGTTCAATGAAGTTTTCGTGATCATGATTCTAAATATGAGACATGGGAAAACAAAAATCAAATTGGTCTGAAAAGTTTTGAACATAATAACTTACAAACTACCAGTTGTGTGGTGGTGTGGGGATTCCATAAATTGTCACATTTACTGAATCAGCTTCCTTTATAAGCTTACATGCTTGTTAAACAATCATTGAATTTGAAGGGTTCACAAGAAGTCGAGAACGTCACTTTTTGTAAAATGTTTATTTATTTATTTTTTTTCAGCAGGATGCCAACCCCCAAGATGTAGAATTCCAGTTGCGTCTAACACTATATGATGCTGCCAATAAGTGCTTTTTTGGAAGTACATGGCTAGGACCATACTTTCCAAGCAGTGGGAAAGAAAATGGCAGGCATAAAGTTGTCTGTGATGAGGTTTGTAAGAAAAAAATGCCTGAGCTTTGTCATACTAAAACGTGGGATAAAGTTAATTCAGGATAAACTTCAACTTCAACTTCAACTCTATAAATTGTTATTTAACATTTGATGAACTATATTCTTGTCCCCATAGGTTGCAATCTAATTGGTCAGCTTTAAAAATAATGACTGATAGCATTTTTGAGCTTTTTAATTACCAGCTGATAAGACATCCTTATTCCTTGTGCTGATCTTAAGGATTGAGCTTTCTGGGACAGGAATGGATGATGTATTATTACTAATAAATGTTGTCAATAGTTAAATTTATACAGATAGAAAAAGTCAGATTGTGACCTTGGAAGATCTATGCAACATAAACTAAAGTAGTTTTTAATTAGTAATACAGTGAAATCCTGATTCTTTTTGAACCTTCAAACAAAAATTGGGTAGAAAAATCAGGTAGTTTGAGAAATCAGGAATAAACAGTGTTGAACTGAGGGGAGAGAAACAACCTTTTTAACAGTTCGAGTTATTGGGAAGGTTGAACAATTAATTGGGATTTGACAAGTTGGAATTCCACTGTACTGGTAAAAGTGTTGTGAGGGTTCCTTACAGAGTGCCCTTAGGAGTAATTTTTCTTTCAAAACAGGCTGTCTATTTTTACTCATCCTTACACGACATCACATGTGTTGGAGTAGTTGAAGTCTCAGGAGAAGGTAAAGGATAGATTATAAACTGAAAATACATACTTGTACCTCTGCCAATTAATTCAATTTTACTCATTTTTTTAGGAAGGCAGCGTGGCCAAGTGGTTAGTGTGCCGGACCTGATATCATAAGGTCGCAGGTTCAAGTCCTGCTCTGACCACTAAGCTGGAGCTGTTTCTCGGTAGACCCTAGTTCAACTCCTCGGTCTTGTTTGTAAATAGCCAACTGGTCTGCCTCCCACCAGTTGGGATTTTTACGCCTACTGTGTTCATTTGAAATGTTTCTTTCTCTCAGTTTAAGCAGAATGTCTCAGTGCCTGTCTGAGAACTAGCCAGTTGTAGCTAAGCTCATCAAACACTATTATCAACATTCAACATTTAACATTTTTCTTCTACTGATAACATGTTTAACATCATTTTACACAAATCTCAGTTTGGCTTGTATGCATTCATTGGATTCATGGCATGTTTTGTTCTACTTGCCTTGCAGTCTACCCTCTGGACCAGAAACTGAAAACTAGTTACTAATTACTTACAAAGTCAATTTTCTTTTAATGTTTCTTGGTCAGGAGTGACTCACTGCTCAGGGAATTTTTTTGAAATTTTGCAATTTTCTGTTTTCAAAAACCAAGTGTCTTATAATTTTGTCCTCAAAACTTATAGCAAAGGTCCATTCATTGATTCATTGTGATTGCTTTTTAGTAAGATGGGTGGCTTTTTAATTTCATATTTCACCACTTGAACGTGTGATATTTGAGCAGGGGCACGTAATAATAGGCCATATCTGTATTCTTGATATTGGACTGCAAATCTCTTTTTAATGATATCCCCTCACATGAGCTTGCATTCCAAGCCACATGTAGTTCCAATACCGAGAATACAAATATGCAGTATTGGGGAAATACATTGATTTTGTGATGTGTAAGGACTCTACCAAAGTGACCCTTGTCACCAGACCTTATCTCAGTTCCCATAGCATGAAGCAACTTGGATCAGATGCTAGTCCATCGCAAGGTTATCCCACAACAGTTTGATAAATTACCAGGCATAACTGAAGTTCAGTGGTACCTGTTTAATCCTAGAGTGAGGGAAGCACTTTTAATTAAGAGTTACATACCTTGGCCAAGGAAAACTCAACATGTTGAATTACGTCTTTCTGTGCACGAACATTTACTTCCTGATAAGTAAATAGATATTAAATAATTATTGTTATTAATTATAGTGAATGGTCAAAGTATTGGATGTGGCTGGACTCTGATCAGAATTTTTGACCGAGTCTCAGAATTGACTGAAACTACTACACGACAGCCTACACCCAAAAGGTATGGTATGTCACCTTAAGAAAATATTAATTAATCATTCTAATAATTTTGTATTTAAATTTAGAGGTTCAGGAATGGTCTGTTACAGAATACTTATACTAATTATAGACTGCTGGGAGTCTGTTTTTCTCTCAAAATTCAGCAGGGGTTATGAGGATAGATGTTTTCGCCTATAGGGGAATGGGACAAGACGTGGGCCTTCTTCCCTGCTCTGCCATACCGCCCTTGTTCCGCCTTCTTCCTTACTTGGCCGAAGCCATACTGCCCCTTTTCACAATGAGTAAATACTCATCTAAGTGTCATCCTTAGAGGTAAAACCGGCTGCCAGCAGACTATATTAATTTATTATTATTAATTCATTATTAATACTGATCTAGTGATTATAGACTAGACTAGGTAGTTATTCACAAACTACTTAGTCTAGTTAAACTACTCAGTCTACTAGTTTATTTAGATAAAGTTTTATTAACTGGTTCCTCTACTGGGAAGGAAAATAAAATAAGAATGAGCACAAAGAACTTCAAAATCTTTTTATTAGATAAGTGCAAGTTTTGAAATAAATTTTAATTTATTGATTATATTTTTCAACATTAACCTGTCTTCATTTTTGTTTCTCATCAGCATTCCTTTGTATTGTGGCTCACCTGCTGGTCTGCTCTGCATTTCTGAAACAATTGAAGGTACTGATATAACAGTTTAATACAGGAACTTTTGGCTTTTTAAATGAATTTAGAAAACAGCCCTAAGTAAATAAGCATGCTGATTGGTTAAAAATCGTGTTTCTGTAACTCGTTAGAAACACGGAACTAGCACAAGTTTTTGACATAATGATGGTGCGAGCAAAGAGAATTTACATTTTGATGATCAAAGTAAACAAGTTGTTTCTCTTTGTTTTTGTCGCGGTGTTTTCTAAGAGAAATGGAAAACATGTTCTCTGTATTTCTATCAAGTTATAGAAACACTTGTGAAAGCTTGGGAGAACTTGGAACACTTGTACTTCTGTAACTCGATAGAAACATGGTACATGTTTTCTATTTCTTAACTGTGATTCATGGTAACATACAAACGCTCACATTTGACTCCGCTCTCATGTAATGTACAGTCACATGATTTTAAGCCAATGACCCACATTTTTGTCAAACCTGTTTGGTCTTGTGTTCTTTGTATCAAGACCAAATTTACAACAGAGACCAGAAAGTCCTAGAGGACGTCATGTCTGAATTTTGATTTGTCAAACATGTGCTATTAAAGCAATATTGTATATACATGATTGATTTGTAATAATATATTATTATTATATTAATTTCCAACATGAAATTATTGGGTTATAGAGCAAATTAATAAGTAACAACTTTTGTTGTCATATCTTTGGAACTAAATCTGTGCTAAGGTGGATGACCTATTTGCTATTTGTTCACCAATTTTTGAAAAACCTAGCACATTTATAGATTTATAGCGGCTTTCCTGTGGTTTGCTTGTTCCTTTCTAAATAGATTCACCCAGTCTGCTTCCAATTGAGGGATGCAGCTTGAGTTTTGTTCTTCAAATCCATCCGCCACTGGAGAGAGTGTTTCATCTGATTCCTGAAAATGCTGTCTTGAGTGGGGATGACTTTGTTCCAGGAGTTTTGGAACCCCAACCTGACGGTAATTCTCCACTGACGATCTATTGAAAAGTATTAAAGGAGCTATGTCACGGTTTGCGCATCTTGAAAAGTTTAGCGGAATTTTTTCAAGTTCGTTTTTTGTAACCTGTCTTAATCTTCTCCATCCTCAACCATCCTTGTTCCTCTATGGCTTATTCTATCTTAGTGAAGTGAACTATTATTTTCAAGTTTCCTTCAATTTAATGGTAATTTTCAGGGTTTGTCATGGGGGTTAGTGGTACATGTACATGTATACCAAAATGCAGCTGTAACTGAAAAGAAAAACCTGTTATACCAAAAATTTACCCTCAAATTTATGCAAAATACCAAAATTTGGAAAAACAGGGAATACTTTATACCCACAAAAGGCCCAATTGTGGCATCAAAATACTGTATACTTGATTTAAAATCTCTATACCACATACCCCCAAACCCTGGCCAACTCTGAATTTTGTACATGGTCAAAATAACTCAAAATTTTGTGAATGAACTCTTTTAAGCACATTCAAAAAGATCATGTTAAAATCTATCAAATAAATATCAATTTCTAATTGCCTTAGTTTGTATGTAACAGGGATATTGCTTAAGGCTGGCTGCTGGCTAATTTCAAACGCTGTCAAAGAGAACTAAATTCTGGCTGTAACTTCACACAAAAACAGACTTGTGAAAACTTTGCAGCTGCAAATGCCAGAGATACCAGCAGGCGTGTTAATGAGCTGAACTAGTATTCTTAGCTGCATCCCTGATGCAAATTTGACAATTTCTTGATAGGTTCTGGAATAGTTGACATTTTGAAGAAACCCAGGCTGGCCAAGACTACCCCAAGTTTTATAAATAAGGTAGCAGTTAGAAATCAGAATGTGACTTGCTGTTTAAATTGTTTGTTATTGTAATTAATATTGTTAATTTTCCTTTTTATCCAGCAATTTTGAATACTCTTTTTTTCATATCTCTAAATACATTGAATTAATAGATCCCTATTACATGTATTTAATATTAATTAAATTTATATAAATTATAAATTACTGGGCTTCTCAGTGATACAAATTTTGGCAAAATGAAGTGTAAATCTGCTGTCAAATTTGGATGGTTACATACCCACCATTCATAGGAGGTTATAAAATTTGAAGATTCATTACTTGGTTACTTAGAAAATATGAATTCAAACCAACTACATGTAGCAGTATATATGAAGAGAAAATTGATCATATGATAATTTTACAAGGCTATTCAAAGTGACATTACATTATAGAAAATATACCTATTTTTCTGATATTTACAGTTGAGTATTCTGCTGTATCCATCTGTTGAAGAGTTTGAAGATGAATTACGACAGATACTTAACCATGACAGGCTTCACAAGGTGTATATTTTTGCATATATTTACATGTTACTTAGTAATTATAATCTATTATAATTGCTTTTGTGTATGCAGAGGTTTCACCAGTGTTCTCAGCAAGAAGGCAACTGGTTTTCATGGGCAGGCAAACCTTTTGAACAGAACTTCTTTAATTTTCCTTTCCATAGAGTTCAGAGCCACCTTAAATTGTTGAAAATTTAAGGTAGCTCTGAACCCTACGTACAGGATCTTTTTAAACTTTGCAACTTTAAAAGTTGTGTCTTATCATGCTTATCAAAATTTGATAATATAAAAAAATTTCACTGTGCTCTTTTTGAATTATAAGTCCCTAAAGCTGTAATTAAGGGTGCTTTTAGCAGGTCATACTGTTGCTATGGTAACCTATTGTGTCACGAAAATGAGAACAACTTGTTCACCAATGATGGGTCAGTTTTTTTGATACCATGATCGTAGCATCAAGTGATAAAGAGTGGTTGTAATGAACCATCAAATATTTAAGTGCTGGAAACCATTTTGAGCCACCTTTTGAAATACTTTTCCATATTAATCCTTCTCTTCAGAACAATATCATTCCTGATGATGGCCTTCAGATCTCAGTTGTTGAGAGGAGACTTAAGGTTGGTGTGTAACCATCATCATGATCAGATGTCATCACCATTTTATTTAGTAATGCAGGTTACCAAGATCGGCAGCGAGTGAGGCTGATTTAGACCTACAATTAACTACATGTAATAGAATGTGAAATAATAAACAAAATAATTATTTATAAAATCACCCAATGTATTTAAATATACAACTGACCATAATCATATAATTAATACATTCAGTATCAAATCAATAAAATGTAGTCCATAGACTATGGTCATAAACCTTTGTAACAGGCCATTATTAAATTGAATCAGAAGATATTTAGGCTAGGTTTTGAAAAAGCCCCAGTCATAACCCATATGCATTGAATTACTCTGTACTAAGTAGAAAATGTTTATTTGAACACAGGTTTCAGTGCACAATGGCTGGAAGTTTGTAAGTGAGCCACATATTGTTTACCTTGAACCAGAGTATGAAGGTGGAAAATCGGGAAGAAAGTCGCCAGCATCACAATCATCTTTAAGAGGTACATTGCAGGCAAATTCTGTTGCACCACTTGCCAAAATGTTGTCTTTAAGATCTTTGTGATGCTACAAAGTGCCTGTATAGCTGGCAGGAATCATGAGCGAGCGATTTCTGGCAGTGAAGCTGCCATTTTATTTTTGCACGTGGCAAGGGAATTTGCGAGCCAAGAATAAAATTCAGCTCGAGTGGAATTCAACTTGAACCTTTGCCAATTTCCTCGTGTTCGCCACTCCCCACCCAAAAAGCCTTTGAGCCTCTCTGTCCAGAAGAGAGAGCCCTTTGCTAAGATGAACTTGGTTTTATTCTATGATCTATCCTTTGATTCTGTGTTGGGGGTCAAATGCTTCCCTGCCAGCGGAGACATAAATTTCTGTTAATTTTGTTTCTGAAGTTTTTTTTTCCTCCAAAGATGTTCTTCTGATCTGTTTTCCTCTCTCTTTCAAAAATAACACTTTTAACATCCAATTTTGTCTGGGATTCAATTTTCAGAGTAAAACAAAGTATTTAACATAAATTACGGTTATTAATAACCTTCAGGAATGATTGTATAATGCTTTTTCGTTTTGTTTTTTAAGGAAAAATCCTTTCTTTGGTCCTTCGAAGTCGACTGGAGCTCAAAGAACTTGTTCATCACCCACTGTTTGCCATTATTTTTGAACTGGAGTATGTTACATCTGAACCATTTGCTCAGCCATTAATTGAAACAAAACGTAAAAAGGTTAGTATCTGTCACCATGCCTCCTACTAACAACTCTGTAAATTAGGGAAAACCTTGTTAAGAGCTGTGTTAACTTCTTTGTTATTTTCAGCCATCCCTATCAGGCAGTTTGATGCGGTCTCAGNTATATTAATTTCCAACATGAAATTATTGGGTTATAGAGCAAATTAATAAGTAACAACTTTTGTTGTCATATCTTTGGAACTAAATCTGTGCTAAGGTGGATGACCTATTTGCTATTTGTTCACCAATTTTTGAAAAACCTAGCACATTTATAGATTTATAGCGGCTTTCCTGTGGTTTGCTTGTTCCTTTCTAAATAGATTCACCCAGTCTGCTTCCAATTGAGGGATGCAGCTTGAGTTTTGTTCTTCAAATCCATCCGCCACTGGAGAGAGTGTTTCATCTGATTCCTGAAAATGCTGTCTTGAGTGGGGATGACTTTGTTCCAGGAGTTTTGGAACCCCAACCTGACGGTAATTCTCCACTGACGATCTATTGAAAAGTATTAAAGGAGCTATGTCACGGTTTGCGCATCTTGAAAAGTTTAGCGGAATTTTTTCAAGTTCGTTTTTTGTAACCTGTCTTAATCTTCTCCATCCTCAACCATCCTTGTTCCTCTATGGCTTATTCTATCTTAGTGAAGTGAACTATTATTTTCAAGTTTCCTTCAATTTAATGGTAATTTTCAGGGTTTGTCATGGGGGTTAGTGGTACATGTACATGTATACCAAAATGCAGCTGTAACTGAAAAGAAAAACCTGTTATACCAAAAATTTACCCTCAAATTTATGCAAAATACCAAAATTTGGAAAAACAGGGAATACTTTATACCCACAAAAGGCCCAATTGTGGCATCAAAATACTGTATACTTGATTTAAAATCTCTATACCACATACCCCCAAACCCTGGCCAACTCTGAATTTTGTACATGGTCAAAATAACTCAAAATTTTGTGAATGAACTCTTTTAAGCACATTCAAAAAGATCATGTTAAAATCTATCAAATAAATATCAATTTCTAATTGCCTTAGTTTGTATGTAACAGGGATATTGCTTAAGGCTGGCTGCTGGCTAATTTCAAACGCTGTCAAAGAGAACTAAATTCTGGCTGTAACTTCACACAAAAACAGACTTGTGAAAACTTTGCAGCTGCAAATGCCAGAGATACCAGCAGGCGTGTTAATGAGCTGAACTAGTATTCTTAGCTGCATCCCTGATGCAAATTTGACAATTTCTTGATAGGTTCTGGAATAGTTGACATTTTGAAGAAACCCAGGCTGGCCAAGACTACCCCAAGTTTTATAAATAAGGTAGCAGTTAGAAATCAGAATGTGACTTGCTGTTTAAATTGTTTGTTATTGTAATTAATATTGTTAATTTTCCTTTTTATCCAGCAATTTTGAATACTCTTTTTTTCATATCTCTAAATACATTGAATTAATAGATCCCTATTACATGTATTTAATATTAATTAAATTTATATAAATTATAAATTACTGGGCTTCTCAGTGATACAAATTTTGGCAAAATGAAGTGTAAATCTGCTGTCAAATTTGGATGGTTACATACCCACCATTCATAGGAGGTTATAAAATTTGAAGATTCATTACTTGGTTACTTAGAAAATATGAATTCAAACCAACTACATGTAGCAGTATATATGAAGAGAAAATTGATCATATGATAATTTTACAAGGCTATTCAAAGTGACATTACATTATAGAAAATATACCTATTTTTCTGATATTTACAGTTGAGTATTCTGCTGTATCCATCTGTTGAAGAGTTTGAAGATGAATTACGACAGATACTTAACCATGACAGGCTTCACAAGGTGTATATTTTTGCATATATTTACATGTTACTTAGTAATTATAATCTATTATAATTGCTTTTGTGTATGCAGAGGTTTCACCAGTGTTCTCAGCAAGAAGGCAACTGGTTTTCATGGGCAGGCAAACCTTTTGAACAGAACTTCTTTAATTTTCCTTTCCATAGAGTTCAGAGCCACCTTAAATTGTTGAAAATTTAAGGTAGCTCTGAACCCTACGTACAGGATCTTTTTAAACTTTGCAACTTTAAAAGTTGTGTCTTATCATGCTTATCAAAATTTGATAATATAAAAAAATTTCACTGTGCTCTTTTTGAATTATAAGTCCCTAAAGCTGTAATTAAGGGTGCTTTTAGCAGGTCATACTGTTGCTATGGTAACCTATTGTGTCACGAAAATGAGAACAACTTGTTCACCAATGATGGGTCAGTTTTTTTGATACCATGATCGTAGCATCAAGTGATAAAGAGTGGTTGTAATGAACCATCAAATATTTAAGTGCTGGAAACCATTTTGAGCCACCTTTTGAAATACTTTTCCATATTAATCCTTCTCTTCAGAACAATATCATTCCTGATGATGGCCTTCAGATCTCAGTTGTTGAGAGGAGACTTAAGGTTGGTGTGTAACCATCATCATGATCAGATGTCATCACCATTTTATTTAGTAATGCAGGTTACCAAGATCGGCAGCGAGTGAGGCTGATTTAGACCTACAATTAACTACATGTAATAGAATGTGAAATAATAAACAAAATAATTATTTATAAAATCACCCAATGTATTTAAATATACAACTGACCATAATCATATAATTAATACATTCAGTATCAAATCAATAAAATGTAGTCCATAGACTATGGTCATAAACCTTTGTAACAGGCCATTATTAAATTGAATCAGAAGATATTTAGGCTAGGTTTTGAAAAAGCCCCAGTCATAACCCATATGCATTGAATTACTCTGTACTAAGTAGAAAATGTTTATTTGAACACAGGTTTCAGTGCACAATGGCTGGAAGTTTGTAAGTGAGCCACATATTGTTTACCTTGAACCAGGGTATGAAGGTGGAAAATCGGGAAGAAAGTCGCCAGCATCACAATCATCTTTAAGAGGTACATTGCAAGCAAATTCTGTTGCACCACTTGCCAAAATTTTGTCTTTAAGATCTTTGTGATGCTACAAAGTAGCCAGTATAGCTGGCAGGAATCATGTGTGAGCAATTTCTGGTGGTGAAGCTGCCATTTTATTTTTGCAGGTGGCAAGGGAATTTGTGAGCCAAGAGTAAAATTCAACTTGAGTGGAATCCAACTTGACTCTTTGCCAATTTCCTCGTGTGTTCGCCACTCCCCACCCAAAAAAACCTTTGAGCCTCTCTGGAAGAGAGAGCCCTTCACTAAGATGAACTGTGATCTATCCTTTGATTCTGTGTTGGGGGTCAAATGCTTCCCTGCCAGCAGAGACATAAATTTCTGTTATTTTGGTTCTGACTTTTTTTTTCCTCCAAAGATGTTCTTCTGATCTGTTTTCCTCTCTCTTTCAAAACTAACACTTTTAACATCCAATTTTGTCTGGGATTAAATTTTCAGAGTAAAACAAAGTATTAATATAAATTACAGTTATTAATAACCTTCAGGAATGATTGTATAATACTTGTTTGTTTTGTTTTCAAGGAAAAATCCTTTCTTTGGTCCTTCGAAGTCGACTGGAGCTCAAAGAACTTGTTCATCACCCACTGTTTGCCATTATTTTTGAACTGGAGTATGTTACATCTGAACCATTTGCTCAGCCATTAATTGAAACAAAACGTAAAAAGGTTAGTATCTGTCACCATGCCTCCTACTAACAACTCTGTAAATTAGGGAAAACCTTGTTAAGAGCTGTGTTAACTTCTTTGTTATTTTCAGCCATCCCTATCAGGCAGTTTGATGCGGTCTCAGAACCAAACTGTAACGTTACGGTGGGCAATGTGGCTGCCATTTGAGGGTGGAAGTCGTGATGAAAGAGAGACAACACTGGAACTCACTGGGGGCTGTCAGGACTTCCCCAGTAACAGACTTGTGTACACTAGCAAGCCACCAACACTTTCTGGCAAGAAGGTTTCTAAGATCTGTTTTTTGTTATTCACACCTACCTACTTAATACTGTATGTCACATTTCCACTTTAATTTAAACACTGATGCTAGCTTTTTATAGTTGCTCATCTTCTTGAGCAAACCTCCATAATGTAGGCACCTACATATACATGTACATGTAATTATGCAATATGGACAGTTGAAACTATCTGAGTAGGTAAAATCTCTACATATGTACACCTCCAAAATAGGAATGCTCTTATAATAAGTTCGCAACTGTGCCCATTTGGTGTTTGTAAAGGGGCTTGACTGTATTTGTAAACTCCCAATTTTGGTTAATATGTTACGTACAATTGAAATACTTCTAACTATGTACAAGTGTGTATACCAACGTATGTTTCAGGAGCAATCTGCATTTAAATGTTATCATTTGAAGAAGCTGACAAAACTCATATTTTGCACCATTGTATTGTCATAAGTTAGAACTTGGATTTTACTTAATATCCTCTGTTTCAGGTGATGTGGAATATGAAAAAAAAGGAAACCACTTTCAAAAGTGTTTGAAAAAATAAATTTCAAACAAAAAAAATCCAACTACACCATGTACACTTTGATGACCTCTTTTTACACTTAGAAGTCTAAGTCAAGGGTGAATACTTTAATTTTTTTGGGCAAAATTAAAACTGCTATTCATTCCTATTATAATTATGCTGAAACCCTGGCCAAACGATTGCAAGATTGTTGGGTGCAATGTGTTGTGTGTGCTTGGTCACCCTGTTGCGATGTGTTGCGACATGATGGGTGTAGTTGGCTCAAATTTGACCATTTTCAAACTTGAGTCAACAACACACAACATATCACAACACGTTGCAACAGGGTGGCCAAAATGGCACCCAGCAATGTTGCGATATGTTACATTGAAATGTTGTGATCCTTTGTGTGGGGCTTTACTGTTGTACATTCTGTATTCTAGGCACCTAAATCTGGTGGAACATTGAAGTTCCTGTTCACACAGCAGCGCAGGAGAGGAAGCAGTATTCATTCCTCCACTCAAGGGTCGCAGATGCTGAGGGTCCCCACATCCCCTGGCCTACCCTCTCCAGGTCCATTTGACACTGTGGGAGGGATGTTCAGTTCATTTGGCAATGTAGCAGAGGGTGGCCATCCAGGAATGCCACTGACACCTGGAGTGGCATCTCGACCACCACTTCCACCAGGGAATAGGTAAACAGCTATTTCAGTGTTAAAATGTTGACAGATTAAATGATTGATTGAGGAATGTTCAGTTCACGTGATCATAAAGCAAATGGTATATTCATACAGGAATACCACTGATCAATGCCTGGTGCGGCATCTTGACCACCACTTCCACCAGGAAATGGGTAGATTTAACTATTTTATTGATCAGGAAGTATATATTTGGTTTTTGGAGCGGGAAACATAGTGACAATGCAGGAAGTTGTTCTAAACTTGCGCTGTATAGAAGCACAAGTGTTACCACTTATGGTAATATTGTAGGTGCAAAATAAAAAGTCTAGTTGCTTGTGCGACCAGTTGGTCGTTAACTTTGAGCCCCGCAGTGGTGGAACATTAACATCTTGAAATGATGAATTGAGGGTTGTCCAGTTCAGGGTACCATTAAAGCAGACGGTATTCACTGATGAATGCCGCTGATGTTTGGTGTGACCAGTGTCCAGGCCACCATGTACCTCAATCTTTATGATGTGATTCCTAGGAATCTGTTATCATAACTTTGAAAAATTAGTGTCTGTGTGTAAATCACCCACCTAAAATCCTACTTTCTAAATTAAGTGCTTCCACTACCAGGTATAAAAGGACAAATTGGCTCTTAAGGTTACAGTATACCTTCGGGTCGGCAATTTTCTTCAAATTTGGATTTTTGGGTCAAAATAGAGGTCGAAGAATAATCTCTAATTTCTGAAGNGTTCAGTAATCATAGGCCGGCTACAGTTTTTGCAGGCAGAATGACTGATGCACAAATTTCTCGGAAGGAGTCAACGAATTTACACAGAAAATGTCGAATTAAGTAAGCGGCGTTTTCACTCTGAAAAGCATCAAATGTTTTCTGTTCAAACTACGCCGGAGAAATTTGAAGACGCAATAATCACCGTCGGCCATTTTGGATTTGTGTTTGTGGAAAACTCCGTCAGGGAAATCACATGGATGTTGCGACGTCACTTTTTTTTTCGAAAAGCTCCGTTTTCAAAAAGTTTTCCGACTACACGCAAGCGTGAAGCCGGCGTTTTCAAATTCCTCCGGTCTGAAGAGTGTTTTCGAAAAGCTCCGTTTTCGTGACGAATTGGCGTGGACGGTAGGCCTAACCGTAGAAATAAAGCTGCGCATGCGTTTTCAATTTTCTCTGGTGTAGAGTGGAAGGGGCCTTAATTGATTCGTAAACAGTAAAATTTAATTAGTGCGTAGAAGTCAGCGCATATTACCTCTATTGCCACGTTTTTGCCACAGAGCACGACATTTACAGAGGAAAATTGGAGTCTGATTGCACGTTGAGATTAGGCGTTAAAGCTCTTATAAAGAGTATTTCGTACACTAAACAGTCAAATTTGTTTCTGCATTTCTTAAGCACTTCGAAACGCTTTAACAGGTCCTGAGGTATCGTCCCGTGTATGTTCTTGTAGTGTTTGACAATGGCGGAGGATTGTTGTTTATGTCCTTTTACACGATTATGTAAATGTCCGCGTCCATTCGTGCGAAAGTATTTTCATAATCTTCGCACCCTTTTATGTTAATTCTCCGCGCCAAGATCGCTTTAAATGCTGTAATTTGCATGATCTGATATATTTTTTCTTGATAATGGAGTCCTGACTACTCCGAAACGTCGGATTTTATCGTTAGCTTTCAGTATGCATTATTTATTGTTTTTTATACAGTGGACCCACAACTATGACTCGTGCGGCCTATGCACGGCTGTCTAGTGCTGGATTCCCGTCAATTGTCGATCGCCGTGGCAATCCTCCACAAGTGATTGATCCCAGAGAGGAACTACCGTTACACTTAGATACTGAAGGAATGGATCAACTCCTCGGCAATGAGATTATCATCCAGTTTCTTGCACTGTCAAGGTATGGCTGATGAAAGACATATAACTTGTGCATAGTTTTCACTCCCTACGTCCGTCATTTCTTAAAATAATAATAAGCTTTATTTATACATTTTTATAAGAAACATATACTATGGATTTACATAATTTAAAGGGGAATACATACATAGTGAATTATTATTAAGTAAAATTACTAGTAAGGTAAGTAAAAAACAGACCATAAATGGAGGAGTCTTCAAGCTCTTGCTGAAAACGAGTTAGTATTTTTTTTTTTTTTGCATTCCTGACTTTGGTATTGCTGCTGAACCTGGTTTAGATCTTAAGATATAGCCGTGGCTGGTATTTAGCTTTGTGAGAAAGATTTGATTTGGGTGGTTTATATCATGACCATTTACATTCTTCCCCTTTCTCCTTCGAGCCCCCTCCCTCGAGCTCCCCTCTCTCTCCCTCCCTCCCACTTCCCTCCCACCCTCTCTAATCCCTCTCTTCCTTACTCTCCCTTCCTTTCAATCTCCCTTTGTCTCCCTCCATCCATTCCTTCCTATCTTCCTTCCTTCTTGCCCTCCGTCCTTCCGTGCGTCCTCTGTCCCTCCTTCCTTCCCTCCCTCCCCCTTTCTTCCTTGCTTCCTTTCCTCCATTTTCAGAAATTTACAATGTGTTCAGAATTTTAATCATTTTACAGAGTAGTCACATCTAACCGTGGGAAAGAAAGTGAAAGTTTAAAGTGTGTTTAAAAGTTGATGTTCCCCCAGGTGTGACCTTATTTGGTATTTTAATCTTGTTAGGTGCTACAACAGGACTTCCTTTTTCTCATTCCAATTTTACCGTTTTCCTCAAGTTACCACTGAAAGGTTTGTGTAAATTTCAAAGGAATTTCTTTTTTAATTCTGCTTGTTGTGCATTAGATTTTTCAGATTGAACTTCTTGAGCACTATTAACTTTCGATATTGAGCACTGGTCTTATGTATGTTCAAATGGCCTTTTATTCTCGGCTTGTGTTCAGGGGGGTTCATTAGTGAAAGAGTTTTGCACTTCATAAATTTGGGTTAATATTTGCAAGGGAATGTATACTGCGTCGAAAACATTTTAGGCGTGCAACAGATCACCACTTGATAAACCTTTCTAAACATGATGATGTGAAACTCAATACAAGTTCTACAGTTACATAACGAACATTACAGGTCTCTAAGCATACTCTAACAAAGTAAAATACTAAACGACTTCTACAACAGAGAGCTTGTAATTAGAAGTACAATAGCATCTTTCCTCAAGAGCTATAAGAAGCAGAGGTTTTATAACTTGTATTTGTTGTTGTTGTTTTTTTTTATTCACGGGGAGCTGGGATGGCGCAGTGGTAAGAGCACTCACCTCCCACCAATGTGTCCCGGGTTCGATTCCTGCCCAGTGTCATATGTGGGTTGAGTTTGTTGTTGGTTCTCGCCTTGTTCCAAGTCTTTTTCTTCAGGTTCTCCAGTTTTCCTCCCGCCGCAAAATCAAACATGTCCAAATTCCAATTCGACCAGGATAGAAGACCCGCATGAAAACCAACTAAGGCTGATGTTCCTTCCTGTCTAAGAATATTAGAATTTTTTTATAGCTCCGTAGGCTTATTTTCATAGACTTGGGTGGGGTTGTTTTCAGTATTTTATGCTATGTGGCAGTATCCTGATTGAAACGTTTCAGGGAAGGTACAAATCACTGATAAGTGGTGTCGAGTTTGTTTTCAATTTGTAGTGTGAGTTGTTAATATTAAAACTGATTTGTTTTTAGAGTGTATCTCAAAGACACTGACAGTCAATCACAAGGTATTCCATGTGTGCTACAAAAGTTTAACAAAGACGAATCAATGTCAGATGAATCTCCTGGACTGATGGTGAGATGTGATGCCACTTTGTTATTATGTAAATAAATGTGTCTATTCATTTGGGGTCAGGGATGGAGGAAGGAAACTTCCATATATATAACTGTTTTAGAAAAGTTGCTCTGGAATTAAGAAATAGAAATCATTTACCGTGTTTCTATCGAGTTAAGTAGAAACACGAGTGGAAGTTTGGGAGAACGAGAAATGCCTTGGAAACACGACCCTCAGGTGTTTCCACAGCTTTTTCGAATTCTCCCAAACTTTCACGAATGTTTCTATAACTCGATTTCGGAGTGGAAAAACGTACTGCGCGTCTTTTGCGCATCCCTAGCCCTACTTGCAGGCTCAGGTGATAATGAGGGTTGCAATTGTGGAAAGAAGGGCGGAGTCAAAGGCGGACTGCTAATAAGGTGCGCGAGGATGTCGTTCGGTTGATATATTTTTACTCGGGCAAGCATGATTTTTTTTCGGCATTTCACTGTAAAGAAAACTAAGTTTCCCCTGCCTGCTGAGAGTCCCTCTTGTTTATATATTCAGTGGGCTGCTTATATGGATGCAATATGTAAAGAGTGTTTGAGGAAAAAATGTGTTTTCGCACCGAAATTTTTTGTGTATACCGTGGGGAAATAAAGGGTTCGGAAACCTTAAGGTTAATTTTGTCCGAAAAAAAAATTGAATCCCCACGAAAACAATACACCAGCTTTCCATTACTGACGATAAAATGTTGATGCTTA